AAACTTTATTATGAATCAGCAGCTTTTTGCTGGCTGAAAGAATGGCTGCTTCTTGAAAACACAGACCTTTTGGACTTAGAAGGTTTTAATAATGTATTTGGATGGCATGCATATTTGTGGTATGATAAGGTCAAAGCACATAAAGCATTTAAAAATCATATTGTCAGGAAAGCATTGTTTAATGTCTGGATAAGATATAAAGACCTACTGGAAAATAAAACCCCAAGGTGGCTGTCACCGATGGAAGCGAAAGCTCTGAAAAAGCTCAATATGGAGGCCAAATGGCCGAAATATTGGGAAATTCTGGAACAAGAGGGAGATAGACTGAAATTGCAGAGCTTTGAGAAACTAAAAAACAAAGTGCGAGATTGGCTTCATTATTATCAGATAATGGAGGCATACAATTTGGATAAGAAAATAGGCTTCCAGGTGGAAAAATCAAAATTAGAAACAGAACTGTTAGAACCCAAAACTAAGATTTTGTCAAAGATGTATAACTTGCTGTTGAAATGGAATACTCAGGATGAAACGGTTAAATCTGCTATGATTAAGTGGGCACAAGATGTTGGACATAACATAATGATGGCTGACTGGGAACAGTTATGGACCACAGGTATGAAGTTTACGGCATGTAATGCCTTAAGAGAGAATATTATGAAAATGATATACAGGTGGTACATGACACCAGTCAAGCTTGCAAAAATCTATCACTTGCCCGATAATAAATGTTGGAAATGTAAAGAGACTGAAGGTATATTCTTTCACCTTTGGTGGATTTGCCCAAGGATTAAGGCTTTCTGGGAGATGATCTATAATGAAATGAAAAAGGTATATAAATATACCTTCTTGAAGAAACCAGAGGCTTTTCTCCTGGGCGTGGTCGGCCAATTGGTGCCAAAGAAGGACAGAATTTTCTTTATGTATGCCACAACAGCAGCAAGAATACTTATTGCAAAGTATTGGAAGACACAAGATTTACCCACTCTGGAAGAATGGCAGATGAAGGTGATGGACTATATGGAACTGGCGGAAATGACTGGCAGAATCCGAGACCAGGGAGAAGAGTCGGTGGAAGAAGATTGGAAGAAATTTAAAGACTATTTACAGAAATATTGCAAAATTAATGAATGTTAGAATGATGTCAGAATGAAATTAAGTGGTCTTAGCAGCAATGTTATAAAGGTGTATGTACAAATGGATTGTTAACAGATGAGAATCTAAAGTTATAATATGTTAAGTTAAAGGATTAAGACAAAAACAAAGAGGGAAAGGAATTGCTGAATTAACTAATAGAACTGGAATACAAAAAAGGGAGGTGTGAGGAAGTCAGGGAAGTAAGGAAATGAAATGTAAGTTATGGAAAGATCGATGTGGTTTTTTTTAAGTGTTTTTTATCTTTTTTCTGTATTTTGTATTTTGTATTTTTTTCTTTTTTATTTCTTTTTCTTTTTCTTTTCTTTTTATCGATGTAATTTTTTCTTTTAAACTTTAATAAATATCATTTTTTTTAAAAAAAGGTTGAAACATGCAAATCTTCTCAGCAAGGAACAGAACAGAAAGGAACTAAATGTTAAGATACTTGAGGTATACCGCTGCAGACATAGTCTTTTGATAGCTCAGTATTCAAGAATCCAGAAATATGTAGATATATTTGTAAAGAGTAGCAGAGGTGGGTTTTTCTCCTACAAGGAACACTGCTTTCTCCTGCCTTCACTAGACCTCACATACGTTCAGCTCCCAAATTAAATTCTGGCTGTGTCTTCCTTGTCACCCCATGAACCAGGTGGGATGTCCACTTTGGCTGCACACAAACAATACACTTAAAACACATGACTCCTCCCCCCCCCCAAGAATCCTGGAAACTGTAGTTTACCCCTCACAGAGCTATGATTCTCAGCATCCTTAACAAACTCCAGTTCTCAGGAATCTTTGGGGTGGGGAACATGTTTTAAATGCATGTTATGTTATTGGATGCTTACTATTTGTTTATTTGTTGCATATATATACTGTCTTTCTGCCAAGGCACCCAAGACGGTTTACGATTTTGAAATATTAAAGCAATCAAATTATATAAATGTAAAATCAGCACTGCAGTGGAGGAGACCGTCAGACTCAGCAAGCCCTAATGTTATAATTATAATTATTATTATGTTTCCCCCAGCCAGATGTTGTCTTTCCCTGCCTCCATCACTCTCTTTTTCTTTCTCAGAGGGCAGACGGTGTCCGTTGAGCCCTTTTTATGGGGTAGTTTTCTACCCCAAATGTGATCTCCAGTGTATCTTGGGGTAGTCATTTGTTCAGCGTTTTGTTTAAAGTGGGAGAGGTTACTTTTGAAAAATTGCTCTGAAGAAAGGGGCGTTATCACTGACACAAGGACTAGTCAGTTAGTGCTTGTACGCATTAGCATTTGCTACAAACTGGTGGGTTTGCTGCAAACAGCTTTCCTGAACTCAGTCTAGGAAAAGAGATTGTGCACGTGCTCAAAATCAGTAAGTGTGCTTCCACACCTTCCTCCTTTTGATTCTCACAGACCAGTTAGGGAACTTGATGACATTAATGTTCCCTTTTCTTTCAATTCCTAGTCTCTGGAGACTGCCCTCAAGTACTGCAACTACATGTTCACCACTGTGTTTGTCCTGGAAGCGGTTTTGAAGCTTGTAGCCTTTGGGCTGAGACGCTTCTTCAAAGACAGGTAAGTTGGAAGGAATGTGAGTCATACCCTGTGGCACATAGAAGATCAGAGGTGACACATTCTGTGTTTGGAATACCATTCACTACCTGAACTACTGTATTTGAATTAGCATGAACTTGGGGAGAGGGGACTCTGACCACAGACATTTTTACAAAGTAATGCTTAGGGCACCCTTCCTCACTGGGTACCCTCTGGGAGTTTTAGTTTCTGCCTCCCATCATCCTTGACCATTGGTCATGTTGGTTGGGGCTGATGGGAGCAGTAGTCTAAAACAGCTGGAGGGTGCCAGGTTGGAGTAGGTTGGCTTAGAAGGAAGCCTCTTTCCCTGGAAGGAAATACAGATGACATGGCTATCAAGGCATTCCTTCACTCAGTGGAACTCTCCAGTCATTTCCCACCACCTTGGCCACCACTTTGCCTTTATAAAGTGTTTGCCTTCTATTTATCTCTTAGCTCCTTCCCTAGTCACCATTGCTCAGGGACACACTTACCATGTCCCAAATTCAGTCCAGTTAAAGAATCTAAGATATTGGGGCGGGGAATGCTGCTGCCAATCAAAGTGAACAATATTGAATAGAGTGCGAGACTGGTTGCATTATTATCAAATAAGAGAGGTCTATAATTTGGATAGAAAAATTGGCTTCCAGGTGGAAAAATCAAAGTTGGAAACAGAACTGTTAGATCCCAAAACTAAAACACTTTCAAGAATGTATAACTTGCTGCTAAAATGGAATACTCAGGATGAAACGGTAAAATCTGCTATGATTAAATGGGCACAGGATGTTGGACATAACATTATGTTTGCTGACTGGGAACGGTTATGGACCACAGGTACGAAGTTTACAGCATGTAATGCTTTAAAAGAGAATATAATGAAAATGGTGTACAGGTGGTACATGACCCCAGTCAAGCTTGCAAAAATCTACCATTTGCCCGATAATAAATGTTGGAAATGTAATGAAACTGAAGGTACATTCTTTCACCTTTGGTGGACGTGCCCAAAGATTAAGGCCTTCTGGGAAAGGATATATAATGAGTTGAAAAAGGTATTTAAGTATACCTTCTTAAAGAAACCAGAGGCCTTTCTCCTGGGCATTGTTGGCCAATTGGTGTCAAAGAAAGATAGAACTTTCTTTATGTATGCAACAGCAGCAGCAAGGATACTTATCGCAAAGTATTGGAAGACACAAGACTTACCCACTCTGGAAGAATGGCAGATGAAGGTAATCGATTATATGGAATTGGCGGAAATGACTGGCAGAATCCGTGACCAGGGAGAAGAGTCGGTGGAAGAAGATTGGAAGAAATTTAAAGACTATTTACAGAAATACTATAAAATTAATGAATGTTAAATTGAGGTCTGATTGAAAATAATTGGTATTGGCAAAAACCTCGCGTTTAAGAGCATGGAATATTTGATTGATAAGGTTGTAAAAATATCTATATATAAATAGATCAAGTTTCTTGAGTTAAGATAAAGGAAGGAGGGTAAGGATTTGCTGAAAGGAGTTTTTAAAAGGAAATACAAGTGGGGAGGTGCGGGGAAGTCAAAGAACCAAGGAAAGATAAGAAGGTTAAATGAAAGTATAAACTTTTAAATTTTTCTGTTTCTTTTTCTTTTTCTCTTTTGTTTTTCTTTTTTATGGTTACTGTTATTTTTTTGTTTTCCTTTTGTCACTGTTATTGTTGTTTTTTGTCTTTGAAATCCTGTATTTTTGTATGTTTTGGAATTTTTGTAAAACCAATAAATATTACATTAAAAAAAAAAAACAAAGTGAACAATATTGAATCAGTATAAAGCATTTTGATGTATCATATTTAAAAAATGTGCCTCCCCACCTGCCAAATAATAATCAAATGCCATGCAAATATAAATTCTCATCCAAGCAAACAGAACAGCCAAAATAAAGGATGTCCGTTTGCTTAATTGGCATGCTCATTTATTTAATTAGCAAACACAGATTTGCATGGGTTGTTCCATTTTTTTAAAAAACGGAACCTTTGATAAGTACAGCATTACAAATAACTTGTTGATAAGCTGTGCCCAGTTTGAAAGTGTGTCATTTATGAAAATTGTCAAAGGAATAAATTGATTCCCATCTCTTAAAGGTGGAACCAACTGGACCTGGCCATTGTTCTGCTCTCAGTCATGGGCATCACACTTGAGGAGATTGAAATAAATGCTGCCCTTCCCATCAACCCCACCATCATCCGTATCATGAGAGTGCTGCGTATTGCCCGAGGTGAGCTACAGAGGGAGCTACAGAGCACAGACTGAACAATAGGCGTGTTTCAGGAAGGATGAGGAAGGGCTGTGGCTCAGAGGTAGAGCATACGCTTTGAATGCCAAAGGCCCCAATTTCTATCCTTGGCACCCCCCCCCCAACAAGGTCGAGAAGGACTCCTTGCCTGAAACCCTGGAGAGCCATGTCCAGTCAGTAGACAGTATTGAGCTAGATGTACCAATGGTCTTCCTATATTCCTATGTTCCTAATGTATTAGTAGGAGAGTAGATTGGGGAAGACTAAGCAACTTGGAGTCTCTGTGCTAAATCACATGTTGGGCCTCACATGCCCCTGATGCTTGTGAAATTTGTCATCTTCTGTGTGTGTGCAAGAGCCACACAGATGTAGTCATTCTGGCATCTTTCTCCTACCATGCTTATCCAGTGTGACTCTTCAGCATGCGTAGCAGGGCTCTTCTGAACACCTTGCAGGTTTCCAGTGCTCTGAATTTTTCACAGAACTATGAATTTGAGCAGAGCTGCTTTCTCACGTGATGACAACTGAGTAACACTCAACTAACTGGGACTTTGCCAGACATACTGCCAGACATTCACATGTACCTGTACAAGTGATTCTGCCGGAGGTAGAACCGGAGGTGTTTAGAGCATGAACTTCCCCAGTTAGCCATGTATGGACTAATTACGAGTTGAGCCAAACATCTCCAGAACCCAGGCCCCTATAGTAATTAGTGTGGGGACCTATTCCCTCTGACATTTACCTGGTGGCACCCAAATCAATGAGAAGTATGGCTGGGCTGCTGCAACCTTTGTTAGGCTGCATGGGACCACTGAGAATGCCAAGGGCACTGGTGTTGCAATTTTGGTCCTTGGTAAGAATCCTCTGAATTCTGGTACCCAAGAGAGTATGCTCATCTGTATAGGGGCGAGGGCACCATAATTACTGGGAATTATCATTTCAGAAACAGAAGGGGTTAAATGGAGAGGAGGCGAGTGGTTGAGAAAAAGAGACTGGGTGGTGGGGAGAAAAAGATGAGATGTTGGCAGGAGTGTCCTCTAATCAGACACATTAGGGAGAAACACCAGCAACAGGACCATTGCTTGGTTTGCTGATCCTGTGTGAAAAGCCACTCACTTTGCTTTTTCCCCCATGGCAGTTTTGAAGCTCCTGAAGATGGCGACTGGGATGCGAGCATTACTGGACACAGTTGTGCAAGCACTGCCGCAGGTAAATGAAGCCAGTTCTTTTTACAGAGGATTTTGCACTAGTTTTTTTTTCATTTAAGAGTCAAAACGTTTAATTATGAGATGGGCTGAGGCTGCCATTCCTGAGGGGAAAAGAAAGTAGTCCTTAGCTGCCAACAACCCAACCCTATGCTTATTTATTCAGAAGTAAATTCCATTGCATTCAAGAGGACTTGCTCCCAAGTATGGGAGTGTAGAATTGTACAGCCCAAGGCTCCCAAACATACTTTTATTGAGGAGTAAGCTCCAGTAGGCACAGTGGGACTTCCTTCTGAGTAAGCCTTCCTGTGACTGCATTGTACATGTTACAAATTCTGAAATATTGAAAGCACAGTTATTTTATCTTCTGCCTTTTGGATGGGCGGTTGGTATCGCCGCTCCCACATTCTTTTCTACAAATAAGATATCCGATACTTATTTTAAAAAGGAAGGTTAGAAGCCCAAGACTGATGAAGTGATATTTTCTACTGGCCAACTTTGTTGGTATATATGAATTTGTAAGTTTACTAACCAAAAATAATAAGACTTAAGATTCAAGTTCACTAATTAAATATCTGAAACAGTAAGTTTGCAAACTTTCTAAGAGCTCTTTATCAGCAAATGGGGTCTGATATCATATTCTCCATTTTGTATCTTATATACACTTCTACCTGTCAGCTTTGTCTGGCAAATCATAGTGCTTTTGTGGGAGACTGACATGCCTGCAACTCTCACACCCATTGGTCAGCTGTGATCATTACCATTAGTCCAGGCACTCTCACTGAATCACTACATGAGGCAGGAAGGAGACAGCAACAATTGTGTAAAAATAATGACGGTAACTCCAAATATCCGTGACAGCAGAGAACCCTTGGATCAGCAACGATCTGCTTCAGCACTGTGCAGATTGTAAGTTTCAATCACACTGATTCAGTAGGCTTGCCACTTGCCAAAACACTACAATTGCTCAGCTATGCTTCCGTCCATTAGCTCCACTGACTTTCATTTCACACTTCAGGAAAAGAAACAATATTCAGGTAATTAGCTCTTTATCCCCTTAGATACTTTTATCCCTTTTAGCTTCATTGAACACAGTGCTTTTACACAGTGTTAAATGATCTTACTCCTATTTTCCTTTTCCTTTCTTCTTTCTTTCTTTCTTTCTTTCTTTCTTTCTTTCTTTCTTTCTTTTGTTTCTTTTGTTTCTTTTTTTGTTTATCTCACTATGCCCTTGGCTAGATGTACTCTGTATTAACAATGCATGCTTTTGGTGCTCAAAGTAAATAATGCAAAAATGCAGAATCGTATTTAATTTGGCATCATTCATTCTGATTTCACTATTCTCAGAACTGGAAATATTTTGGCAGTGACTGGTGTGTCAAAAGACATTGCCTATGGCCATTTCAAGACCTTTGACAATATCTACCACCACATTGTCAGACATTTTTCTCCAACCATAAGGGCTGAAAACCAGATTTTGAAAAATGATATTACTGGGGCCAAAATAGACCCTTCATGTTATATCACCTGGACGTCCCATTTGAAACAGGGAAGGCCATGTCCAATGTTCAGAGAGGCAAACAAGACTGAGAGAACTGGCAAGGCAAGGAGGTCTTAGCCCTTTTCCTACCTCAGAAAGATGCTTCAGGCTGCTTCCTTCTCATCTCCTCCATGGGAGTTTAAGTGTGGCATAACACACTCTCAAATTGGCAGCAAGGGACACTTCAGTCCTTTACTTCCATTTCCTTTAGCTCATGTATGGAGTGAGAAGGTCTAGGTCTGGTCCCTGGTCCCTGTATGGGAGGCCAGTTTAGAACCTCATGTACCCTGCCTTGAGTTTCATAATGGGAAAAGGCAAGACATAACATGTAATAAATAAATAAATAGTCATTAAGGGTGGATGGGATCTGTGACTATATTGAAGGCCAGCTAGGAAGCTGCTGGGGAGCTAGAATGGTTCCCCAGATTGCCAACTATGCATCTTACATGGCTAGACCATAGACCTTGCTCCTATAGGAGGCAGTATCTGCCACCAACTTACATGCATGAGAGAGAGAGAAGGTTGTTGATGGCTACTTGCCATGATGGCTATGCTCTGCCTCCATAGTTAGAGGCAGCAATGAATACCTGTTGCAAGAAACCACAGGAAGGCCAAGTCCTGTTGTGCTCAGGTCCTGCTTAGGGGTTTTCCACAGGCATGTCGTTGGCCACTGCAAGAACAGGATGTTGGACTAGACAGGCCATTGGCCTGATCCAGTAGGCTTTTCTTACATTCTCATGTTCTTAATTTACAAAAAGCACAAAACCTCCTCTCCTCTTTGAACTCAAGTGCCAGAGGATGTTAAGAATGTTTAAACACTATGAGCAGTGGTTCCATTTTTAAAATATATAAATAATTCCTTTCTTATTTCTCTTTTAATTTTTTTCGTGTAACTGTAAAGTGGGAGCATCAAATAAAAATAATGTGCTTAAGGTTGGGTTTTTTAAAAAAGAAAGACTAAAAATGGGCCTGACTAACTCTGGCTCTCACTCTTCCTTCTCCATTTTCCATTCTCCTGTCGAATGCCTGGTCGTTTATCAAGTCTCCTGTCCCATGAGAAATAATGCCTCCTCCATCTTTGCATGTAGTGAAATGTCACCTGAAAGACAGCAGCTGGATAGGGGGATTTGCATGACTTGCAAAAGGCAGCTGCTCAAGAGAAATACTCAATATTGATGTTTCCACTGCCCACCACTCGATTCCCATGGGTATCAAGCCAGGAGCAAACTGACAGAATTCCACTTGATGGATAAGTGGCTTGGGAAACGGGGATTACACATACACTTTGGTTCTTAGGAGATAATTGCTAAAGAATGAATAATGGCATCCAAGAGGGCTTACCGAAGCAGCTATCTTCTATCTTGTCTATAAAAAAATACGAACATGTGTTTGTCTGTTGGTTGGTTATTTAATTATCTCTTTGTGTGAATGAGGTGAGCCTGAAACTTTATCTCGAATTGTTACACATGAGACTTGTGCATGATATCACATTCTTGCCTCCAGTGCCCTGCTATCTGATTCAACTTGTAACACTTTTTTAATTGTACTCCGGATTACAACTCTACAATTCTGTGGAATTCTTGCCTTCTGTTTGCTGCTCTGTCTGCGCAAACAAGAATCCCTTGTTTTCTTACACTGAGAACACATACCCACTTTTTATCATTTACAAATGAGGGAGTTATGCTACAGAGGCTATGAGTTTTAGATGTTCAGAGGGCAGCATCACACTGCTGCTGACAGATTCTCCCCCCCCCCCCCAAGAGTACAGCCTTCAGGAGGAAAGGGCTCATCAGTGGAGTTTTAAACCCCACTTGTGTGAAACTATTGCTCTTCATAAAAATACTGAAGTTTCCACATTGTGAGGTGGGGGGTTCAAAATCAGATATATTTATTTTTTACTATATATAACATTTTGCAGTAATCTATCATTGAAATTATTAGGACATAGATCAGTGTGGCCAAGTCTCTGTCATCAAGGAGGGGATGCAACCAGCTTAATCAGTTAAAGGCATTCCCAACCACTGCCACCACTAGGGCACCCATGAGCAGCACCAGGCAGTACATTTACTTTTTCCAGGTGAGTTAACACTATCCAGAACAGGCACACATACTCCCTGTGTTTGGGTCCCTTGGACTGCCTGCCATCATCGCCCTATCTTTTCAGGATTCAACTTCAGTTCGTTCATCTGCATCCAGATCATAACTGCATCCAAGTTAGGACTCTTGACTGCTGGCATTAGGTTTGGAGTCAGCACTCCAGTGACACTGCACTCCAGAATGATTAATGTTCTCTGCCTGTAGCTGCATATAGATGTTTAAAAGCATTGGGGACAAGGTGGCACCTTACAGCATTCCAGGCTCAGGGAGTAGCATC